TTGTTGTTGTTGTTGTTGTTTTTGTTTTTGATGATATTGTTAATTCTGTTTTTGATATTTTTAACACCTTAACCGGGACGTTAACCTGATGCTGCCGCTTCACCTCGATTTCCCCTTTGCGGGACTATAAAGCCAATTTCTTTCCTAAAATAGGCATACTATTTGCTAGGATGTTGTATTTTTATGTTAACACACTGAAATTTTTATTTATTTATTTATTTATTTATTTATTTATTTATTTTGTATTGGAATTTACAGACATTTTTAAGAAGTCCAATAATAATGGCAGGAATTTCTATTTGTTTTTTGTTATGTGTATTGTATACTCTTCTGGCATGTTTCCATGCTAAAACTGTTAAAACAAGGAAAATGTTCCTGTGCTGGGAAGTTCTTTACATTATATGTAAACATTTTATCTACTTCTAAGCACATCTTCAATCTAATAAACGTGTTCACCCTGTCGAGAATGATGACTGCCGAGTTTTTCAAGGATCCTTTGCATTGTCCTCATGTCGAAAAACAAACAAACAAAAAAAAAACACAAAAAAACAAACCAAAAAAAAAAAGACTGGGTTGTATATAAAACTGTTTCCGAGTTAATGGAGCTTTTGCGTTCATGGCACAGTTTGGTTTTGACTTCAAGTTACATTTAAATTGCTTTCTGCGGGATTTCGATCAGCGAGAGCGGCTTTCAAACTGAGAACTTTCTGAGAATGGCTCCGTCTTTGCAGGTGGGACCAGAACCACGGGGAGAAACTGGAGGACTCGGAGCTCATCGGTGTTTCTACTCGGACGCATTTGGATCTCTCCACTTCTCTACGCGTATTTATTTGTCCTGCTTTTTTTTTTTTTTTTTTTTTTTTTTTTTAGAATACGGAGACATCTAATGACGAGAGGAGAGAGTTTATTTCATTTTGGGAAGATCGAACATCCGTATGTCACTTCATGCCTTGGAATGAAGTAAATAAATCTGGTGGCCTATTTATGAGCAGGATTTTTATGTATTTGTTTCTTGAGGAAATATACATTTATTTCAATCTCAAAAGAACGGCAGAGAACCAGAGGAATCTCATATAAAACGACGAAAAATGCATCGATTACAGAAATGTATTTCAGCTTAAAGTTATGCTGACTCTATTAACTACGTGCTAGAAACAAACGAACATTGTTTTTCACCGCACAAATGCAGAAACCATGAAAGGATCCGACCAAATTATTACCGATGTATAGCGATATAGCCGGCTTATTCAATAAGAGATTAGGCTCAGCCACAAACTGGAGCCTGACATTGTTTTTTCCTAAAGATTCATTTTCTATAACATACTGCTGTCGATTTTTTTTAAACTTCGCACTACCCGTTGTTCTTCTACAATATATATAAAAAAAAGAAAAAGAAAAAGAAAAAAAAACACATACACACACCAAAACTCTCTTTTTCAAAGGTACTTTTTTGCGATCTGACACCTAAACCCTTAAAATTAATAAGGAAAACGAGATAAGAATAAAGTGCAACAGAAGACAAAACGGAGAACATTCATGAAACAACTGCTACCAGGTTATTTTAAAATAACATTCAAGGGGAAAATGTTATCTGATAATGATTGTCATTATTGCTTGTTGAAGAGTTTTAAAAATATATACATTATCTCAGTAGGCCTAGACATAGTAAATAAAAGTCAGTTGTTGCCTCTGCGAATTCATTTCAGATGTATTGATCGTTTAATTCATAAAACTCAGACACATTGTGTCATCATAAACCTGTAAAATAAACCAATGCAATTACATTTTATTTTCCTTTTACTCCTAAGATTTACAATTTTCGAACCTATGTTAATTTTTGTTTTTAAAAGATAACATTATAGTGTACATTTATCAAATGAAATAAATAATGCATTATATCAAACAGAAGCATTTTTTAAAAAAACAAGAGAAATACCAATAACACATGTTTCTCTCCACAATCTGCCTGATATCAAAAACAAGGACGAGTAAAAAAATCACAACATATATCATAAGAAAATTATATTTTTAAATGACCTTACCTGAATTAACAGTAACTGTGGTTCCTTTACCCCAGACGTCTAAAGCCCAATCACAGTGTTACATCTCAATGGACTCCTTCAACAAAAACATGAACCACCAGAAAAATAATGTAACAGTGCACAAAATTAGAAAAAAAAGAAACTGATTCTATAAATTTCATTAAGCCTTTTAGCGCTCTGTGAAAGTTTTAAAATAAACTTTGTGTTTAGTTTGTTTTGTATGCTAAAAAGATGATACGGTTGTAATATCTGTTCTCTATGACATTAAACAGTATGCTTTTTTAATGTCATAAAAAAACTGCATAAACATATCAAATTAAAACATAAAACAAAGCTCTTACATCATGTACTAATCATAAAAAGAGGATCTATTGTTTGTTTTTTTTCTTGGTTTTTTAAGGAGATTAATCTCAGGGTTTTGAGGTGAGGTTTTTGTATTGGTGTATATCTCTGTGTCCCCGTATATCACAGTGACAACCCCTAATACAAAAACCTAAACCACCATCAGCACAAAGTCTAGGCAACAGTATTCAACAAAGCTACAGCTTTTGGTTTTACTATCACAAATATTATGTTAATACTTCGCAAAATAATTGTTTAAAATATTACCCACCCTGGAACTAACTGGGAGTTGTAATGTAACATCAGTCCCACACTGTAAAACATTTGAACCACATTTAGTTGTGTCTACTATCTTCTAGACTTTAAGTCAAATACATTTAGCAAGTTTTAGATTTTGAACCTAAATGTGTGAGTTTGTGACAGATAAACTTACAGCATTAAGTTGTGTTATGTTTTTAATAATTTTGTCTTTGTTTTTCTTTAATTATGTAAAGCACCTTGAAATGCCCTGCTGCTGAAATGTGCTATACAAATAAAATTTGATTGATTGATTGATACCTCCAAGTTGAATAAACTGTATAGTCTTTAAAACTTAAGTGTTAAACTTCAGTTTTCATGTTCTTGGTTTCCTGCACAATTTGGTTTCCTTCAGTTCATCTGCCTAGAAAATGAAGAGATGATAATAATCATTTTCCTGCTACAGTAATGTAATGTTGACTTGCAGCAAAAGGGTTGTGGGTTCAAACTCCGACCGCAAACCTTTCTGAATGGAGTTTGCATGTTCTCTCTTTGGAACGTTCTACTCACACTATAAAGATCTGCTTGTTATTTATTTCCTCTCCATTGCCCTAAGGATGAATATGTCTGCACGTAGGTGTATAACTGGCCTGGACTCACTCTGTGTGTAAATAACATTCCACTTAGTCAGCATTATTCTTCTTACTACCACGTAGTGATTCATACTACCACAGCTGCTTCATACTACCACCACTGTTCATTTGGTGTTTTTGTTCAAGTTTCTCCACCCACTTCCGTCACTGTGCTCTTCTTGCACAGTAATACACTGCAGAATCCTCTGGGCTTAGATTGGACAGTCTCAGAGACACCATGCTGTTGCTGTTGTCTCTGGTGATCTCTATTCTATCTTGAAAACTGCTGGAATAATCTGTGTCACTTCCGTCTGTATAGATATATCCCATCCATTCAAGTGGTTTTCCTGCAGGCTGTTTGACCCAGTTCATGCCATGGGAGCCAAATGTGAACCCAGATCCTCTGCAGGACAAACTCAAAGTCTCTCCAGGCATTTTAACCAGTGGACTGGAAGGAATGGACTCCATACTCTCACCTCTGCAACCTAATTAAGAAAACAGAGAATGTCAAAGTATTATGCATTTATTACCTTATTTAAAGCTGAAGCTATATAAAGATGAAATAAAGTAAGAAAGCAAAATGTCTTACATGACACACAGAGAAAAAGTAACACAAAACTGAACAAATTCATTATGTTGAAGCTGGAAGTTTCTGATGCTGAAAATGAAGTGAGAAAAGTCAGGGAACAGATGGACTATAAGGAGTTCACTGATTTGCATGAGAGGGAGGGTCAAAGTTATTTCTGATGATTTACATTAACACTGTTGGACTGTGGTGGGTGTTTACTCTTAAAGATTAACTTCACTGACTGGAAAAAGGAGCTGAATGTACAAAACCATTTTTATTTATATCCACATATTGCCCAAAAATTAAAAGGAAACATTTATTTTTTTGTTTGTTGTTTTTCTGTCACATTTTTGTCTCACACATGCTTCCTTGCATTTTTAATAATAATAAAAAAAGTACCTTTGTCAGTTTGACAGATGTTTATTAATTAATGGAGAAGAAAGAAAATGTTCTTTCATTACACCAAACTTAGACATCAGGTTTGAGGTTTGTTGACTTGTTGCTGCATCTTTTTGTACAGCTACCAAACCAACTTTGATCACTGTGCACTTCGAGCGCAGTAATAAACAGCTGAATCTTCAGTTTTCAGGCTGTTCATCTGCAGAAACACCTGCTGTTTGCTGTTGTCTCTGGAGATGGTGAACCGACCTCGAACTGACTGAGAGTAGTGTTTTTCGCTTCCAGCCCAAAAACTGATAATTGCAACCCATTCCAATCCTTTCCCAGGTGCTTCTCTGACCCAGTTCATCCAATAGTCTCCAAATTTGTCAACAGAGAGTGTACAGGTCAGGGTGTGAGATTCTCCTGGCCTTTTAAGCACTGGTTCAGATTCAGTCAGAGTCTGACCACCAACACCTGTTAACATAAACATAGCATGCTTATTCAGCTTGTCTGACTGATAACAGAGACATTTTTTTTCAGATCAAAAGCAGAGTAAACTTTTACCTGCCAAGCAAAAGGCCAAAAGCAGAAGACCTGTCTTACAAATCATCATTTTAACCAGACTGCGCTCTGTTCTTTGCTCTGCTTCCAGCAGCCGGATAAGTAGGTTGGAGAGGAAAGAGATTTGCATTGACTCCACCTCAAGGGACGAATGAAACTCATTATACATGACTTTGCATATATATTCTCAAACATTATCAGAGATTTTGATGCAAGACTGTATTACTGACCTGTACCTGTGTCTGTGTATTGAGTGATGAATATTTTGCAAACTGTGAAAGGAGTAATGACATGAAGACAAAAGAATACATTTGATTATGAAACATTAATCTCATTTTTAAAATTAGATCTATTTTTAGACTGTCCTTCTTTGCACAATCACAGATTGTCCTGATTCTTCTCCTAATCATTTCTCTCTAATTTCTGTAAGGTTCAGCTCTTGAGACTGAGATGGGCATGAAAAATGTTGGGGAACCATTTCTTCCTGGAGTTGATAATAAATGTGTGACGTTTTGCATTGATTATGTGCAAAAACAATGTTTTAATTGCTTGTTTGACTTAGTATTTCTTTAACTTTCTATGCAGTAATAATGCCCTCTGTTTAAGGATGTTCCTGATAGGTTGTATCTGTGGTACAGAAAGTTTAATTTCTGAAAGTTAATTCAGGTGCAATTGTATAAAGTGACTGATTTAAGGGAATTTATAAGAGAAATATAACTTAAACTTGATGGGTTTCAATTATAAACAAATGCTGTATGTTGGAAAATTAATATTGGACAAACTAATGGAATCAGCTTCTGATTTACCAATATATTGCTCTTAGTCAACACTGCCACCATAAGGTCAGCCTAAGAACATCAGAGAATAATCTTCTGATGTTCAGTCAGGTTTTTGTTCAGCCTCTCCACCTACTTTTAACACTGTGCTTGTTTGGCACAGTAATAAACTGCAGAGTCTTCTGGCTTTAGGTTGGGGAATGTCAGATATACCACACTGTTGCTGTTATCTCTGGTGATTTCTATTCTATTTTGAAAACTGCTGGAATACTCTGTTGTTCCCCCACTGTATACACGCCCCATCCACTGCAGTCCTTTTCCTGCAGGTTGTCTGATCCAGTGCATGCTACAGCAATCAAATGAGAATCCAAATCCTCTGCAGGAGAGATTCAGAGTCTCTCCAGGCTTTTTCACCACATGACTGGAAGGAATGGACTCCATACTCTGACCTGTAAAACCTAAATAGAAAAGAAAAAAAGGTTTTCTGTTATTAATGACAATTATAAATTGTGAAAGTAACTGCACAACTTATAAAAGCAAGACATCTTACAGGGAAGAAAGACAACAAACAGCACAACGCTGAGAGAATTCATCATCCTGAAGTTAGAGACTAATCTTCTGATCTTCCTCACACAGTAGACGAGTAAGTCAGCAGAAATACCCTGACCAGACTGCAGATTTGCATCATATCCGTCAGAGGGAGTGTCTCCTCTCTCAAGTTTTGAAGATATTCAAGTAAAGGGGGATTGCAGAGTACAGGGATATTTTTTTCAGTAATTCAGTTTTTTTCTTTTTTAATTGGGTCTGATTGCAACAAAACCACTTTGTATTTGTGTTTTCATCAACTTGATTAAAATGTAATTGGTATCCCTTGGATTTAAATTGGACATTTATGTTTTTCTTCAAAGTACTCAGACATTTTTATTTGTTGTTCATTGACACCATATTGATAAACTAAGTGAAATAAATTCTCAGTCAACAAGCAAATAATAAATGTAATGAATCTGCCTTGTTTGATAGCATTTTTATTGTTCCCTTTTATTATGCTTGACGTCATAGACATGATTTTGCTTTCAGTCCATAATATGGATTTCAGTGATTTCCAGTTATAAAACAAGAACTTAATTTCTCAACCTTTACTGTGCACATTTAGAGGACAGCATTTCTCAAAAGCTCTTGAAATCACATATATGGTGAGAATGCCTCCCTCTCCTGGCTTCATCATGTGCTCAGGCTTTGTGGGGTTTTTGAACAGCTCCACTAATGTTTTGTATCACTGTGACTGTCTGGCACAGTAGTACACAGCAGTATCATCAGGCTGCATATTCAGGCCGTTCAGAGTCGCTGTGTTGCTGGAAGACTCCAAGCTGAAACTGAACTTGTTCTTTAGAGATTCTTTCTGGTATGTTGCATATCCAACACGAGCTCCTCCGATCCATTCCAGCCCTTTTCCTGGTGGTTGCCTGATCCAATGAGTGTGATGGCTACCCACAGAATAAGAGACCTGACAGCCGATGGATAGCTGCTGGCCGTGCTGCAAAACTACGGATGATGGCTGTGTCAGCTGTTCACACCTCACACCTGTTGAAAAAATAAGCACATTACTGAAAAATCAGTTGTGCAAAATAACATCAAGTGGTTTAGCAAACCTGGATACTCACTTCCTGCTGCCAGAAGCAGCTGCAGCAGAATTAGTCGGAACATGATCTGTGGTAAAAGATACAGTCTGAGGAGGTCTTTATAGCTGAGTGATGGAGAAACATGCTGAATTTGCATTTCCGCTCCTCGCCAGGTCCTTTGTATGTGGCGTTTTTTTTGTTCTCACTGTTAATATGCTGGTTTCCTCTCATATCTTACAAAGATGAATGTTACAATAACTGGAAAATCTAAATTGCCCTGGATGTTGGCCGTGTGTTTGATGCAGTTCGTCGCCAATTGACTGATGGAGATTGGCAGTAGTACCACTCCTCAGATCATTTTTTTGACAGATTGATGAAAGTTGTTATGACCTTTAAATGATAATGGTTGTTATAGTAAAACAGTAACATTTCCCAGTGTTATATAAGAGAAGCAGAGTGAGAAGACCGAGAGATAGAAAGAGCCCTTATATATATTTTCAAGAAGTTGTAATCTGTCAGAGTAACATCATTTTGTATCACCAGATACAAAACGATTCTCATTTTTAAAAGTTCTGTACTTTGACCTAATGATGGAGGTCGTACTTAAAAAAAAACACTGCTGCTTTAAGTTTATTTCACAGCTCTGGCAGTTTAAAAGCTTATGTACCGTTTCAATTAAAGAAAAGGAAAATTTAAAAAGCAAAACTTTTAGAATATATTTCTTTATCAAAGAAAAATATTTAATTTTAATTTTTAGAATTTAGGTATTTCATTGTGTACTTCAGATGCTATGGTTGTAGTTCATCTTATGAATTTCTATGATAAAACACCTGTTCATAAAAAACCCCTGAAAAACAAGATTTCCCAAACCAAACAGCTGTTGTTGTCAATGTGTTCACATACTGTGTCTCTGTGAATGTGTTTATGTCATTTCCCATTTACAGCTTCTAATGCCACCCTGGTGGGTTTTTGTACAGCCTCTGCACTTCATGAACCACTGTGCTGACTCTTTGGCACAGTAATAAACTGCAGAATCCTCTGGTTTTAGGTTGGACAGGCGCAGGTACACCACGCTGTTACTGTCTTCTCTGCTTATTTCAACACGTCCTCCCACACTGCTGGCATACCTGTTGTAACTCGGAATAGAGAACCCGGTGCCAAGCAGTTCTAATGGTTTCCCTGCAGTTTCTCTGACCCAGATCATAACACAGCAGCCGAAGCTGAACCCAGATCCTCTGCAGGAGAGACTGAGACTTTCTCCTGGTCTCTTCACCACTGGACTGGAAGGTATGGACTCCATATTCTGACCACTACAACCTGTTCCAGTGAAAGAGGAGAAAAAGAAGATCTAAAAGTATTCAAAAAAGGGAATATAGATGAGATAAACCTGAAGTATGCATGAAAACATACAATGCAGTGTGACAGAAAGCAGCAGAAGAGTGAGTCTCCTCATCTTGATGATGTGACCTCTGATGCTTCACTCAAAGTAGATCTACGAGACTCCTCAGCAGGACAGAAATACACCACAGACTACAGATTTGCATCAGAAAATCACGAGGATTGAGTAACTCCAGTGTTGATTGGAAACTGTAAATATGTAAATATCACACTGTGCTGCTTTTAAAACTGACACAGAGAGAAATGTCTTTGTTGTTGCTCTGCGGAGGAATGATGTGTTTTACAAAGTCAATTTGTGGTCAAAGTGTTTCTCAAGTCCTCTCTCAGCTCCTCCCTTCAGGAGTCACCACTGCACCAGATCATCTTCTCCCACACAGCTTCACTAGTCTAATATTTAAATGTGATGTGCATTGTTGTCTATGTCAATAAGCTTTTATGTCAGTCTTAATCAACTTGACTTATATTTTATCTCATCTGAGGTCAGAAGGAGTTCTCAACAAAAGCTCTGGATTCAGGATTAACCAGAACATCTGCTTTTATTTGATCTAACACTAATTTATAACTATGTCCATGTTTTAAGTATTGCTCTGAAAATCCAGGTTAGATGTTACAACCTAAGCCAGTCCTATAAAAATTGAACCCTTCTATAAAAATGTAATTGATTTAATCTATTTTTGCCCCTTAAAACAGATTAAATTATGGTTTTACAACTAAAAAATACTACATTAATTTATAGAAATTAGATTTATGAAGAACAAAACAAAAGAAAACACTGTTCAACAGGACAGCTTCACTCCACATCAATAAAAGAAAGTAAAATGTGTACTTCTTAATTGAAAAACATAAATTACTGCAGGATTAGTGTAAATGATATTGTATACTGAATAAAATCAAACAAACTAATATGTGATCATTTTTTAAATTCAATAAAAACCCAACTATTCTTGTATGCCTCCATAAGTTAGTAATGGCAGTATTATTACTATGCACATTTCAGAGTTAGTTCAAGTCCTTGAAGGCTGATACAGAAAACACTGTCAGGAATAGAGGAAGTGGTTTTTGTATTAGCCTCCTGTTTACATCTGTCAGAGTGTCTCTTCGGGCACAGTAGTAAACTGCTGTGTCCTCCGTCTTCAGATTGTTCATCTGCAGAAAGACTTTGCTGCTGGAGTCGTCTCTGGAAATGGTGAATCTGCCTTGGACAGACTGGGAGTAATAGAAACTGGTACTATACGTGTGCACAAAAGCGATCCATTCCAGTCCTTTCCCAGGAGCCTGTCTGACCCAGTTCATGGGATAGCTGCTGAATGTGAATCCAGAGCCTGTACAGGTCAGTCTGTGGGATTCTCCTGGTCTTTTAGTCACTGGTTCAGACTCTGTCAGAGTCTGTC